TTTTCGGTACGCGGGCCTCTCACTGCTGTGGCCTCTCCCATTGCGGAGCACAGGCTCCAGACGCGCAGGCTCAGCGGCCATGGCTCACGGGCCCAGCCGCTCCGCGGCATGAGGGATCTTCCCAGACCGGGGCACAAACCTGTGTCCCCTGCATCGGCAGGTGGACTCTCAACCACTGCGCCACCGGGGAAGCCCAGTATTTTGTCTTTTGACGTTACTTTCCATTGCAGTTTTAAAAACACAGTAGGCTCTTAACACTTGCCGATTTAGCATACATGGTTTTGATTAGTTACATCAGTTTAAGTTAGGAGGACAGTCAGGACGGTCAGCAGGAGAGAATTACAAGGCGGGTAAGGGATTCAAGCCAGCCACTCAGCGTTTATGGGTAAATTATATGCTTTCTTTGATTCAGTAATTTAGGTGCCTTCCAAAGATTTTAAGAACTATTCCTTGTGAATGTTCTCCTTATGTCCTAATGTCTGATATCTTTTCATTGGTTATATCAGTAAATATACAGTAACTAATTTCATAACAGTACACAGAGAATTATCTCCTATCCTCAGTTTATCCATATCAGGAACAAAATTTACAGATTCCAAAGGAGGAAGGGGGACATTTAAAAATTTGTGATAACCTAACCAACTTATCTAGGTTGGAGCAATAAATGTAAAAAGTTAACTCAGCAACTAAGACAAATGATTATTGTCTGATGGCTGGGAAAATTTTAAATGGTGGTTTAGGTTTTGTTTTCTTATCCTTGAGCTTAAAATAATTGATATACTAGTGATTTTTAAGAGGGAGGAAGGGAATTTTAATTACGAAAGCTAAGTCTTGGCAGCAGATGGATGAACACTGTAAGTGTAAAGTATACAGGGGAGCTGGCAAATAGAGCAGCGTGCCACACCTTGCTTTGTTAACCCATGCTGCTCTTGCTAAGGCTCAGGCTTACAAGGTCATGTTTTTGCTTGCTTGTTTTCTCCCTCCCTCCCTCCCTCCCTCCCTCCCTCCCTTCCTTCCTTCCTCCCTTCCTTTTCTATTAAGAACAGAACTCCTTCTTTATCAGTACTCTATAAGTGGCCTAGGTTTTATCCTGAGAGTTTTTATGGTACTAAAACCCACCAGTTTAAAAAACTCATGTTGTAGAATCACTTGGCTTTTGGAAATTGATAAATATTCCCTTATCTAAAAATGGCAGAGGGAGTTCCCTGGTGGTCCAGTGGTTAGGACACCACACTCTCACTGCCAAGGGTGTGGGTTCAATCCCTGTATGGGGAACTAAGATCCCACAAGCCGCTCGGCGTGCTCAAAAAAAAAAAAGGCAGAATTCATAATTAAAATGTTTTTAATCATTTGCTAGCAAAATAAAATGGTTTCTTTCAAAGGGTATTTTTCTAGTCTGATTGTTTTGTGTTTATTTTTCCTCCCACTAGGTGTCACTCTGCAAACCTGAATGGTTTATATCACACTGGCCCCTACACGGCTAAAACAGACAATGGGATAGTCTGGTACACCTGGCATGGATGGTGGTATTCCTTGAAATCTGTGGTTATGAAAATTAGGCCAAATGATTTTATTCCAAATATTGTTTAATTGTCCCTGCTGGGCTTTCATTTCTGCAGTTCATCTTGGTTTAAGTGATTTGAAAAATAGCAAATCTGAACCTTCACATGTATAATGATGGCATTTGTTATGTGCACTACTTTTCTTACTTGCCATTATTACTTCATGTACTTTCAGTACAACAAATATGTGGTATTCACCAAATAAATGTAGATTATGTTACTATTTAATTGAATTCCTACGTGCAAAGGACTACAATAAGAGATTATTGCTGAACAAAAAATAAAAAGCATAGAGTATATACATGACTTGGGAGATAACACAGCATAAATTTATAATAAATTACATATGAATGCAGTTTTAAAAATACATGAAAAAAATCCAGCAAATAATGTATTGCCAAATCAACTGCGTGGATAATAAATATTATGAATCGAGAATGAACTCAGGTCTCTGACTGCAAAGCTAGAACTTTAAATACAACCCAGGATCTCAATCACTATAAAACACTTTCTCATATTTTTAGGATGTTTATGTAGATTACACACTTTTTTCAGAAGCCTCATTTTAATTCTTATACCAATCCTGTGAGGTATTATTGTCCCCATTTAAAAGAGCTGAGAATTTGAGGATCTGAGAGGCTGTTATTGCTCCAAGCTACAAAGCTAATAAGTAGGGGAACAAGGACTCAAATCCAAGTCTTCACATACTGAATCAAATGTATTGCACCCACGCTGCAACTTCTGGGATGTGTCAGACTCAAAGGACGCACTTCAAACACACGTGAAGTTTTTTGGATAAAAACATACACTAACCATACAATCACAAAAATATAAATAATTCTAAAAGCTGATAAGTATGAAGAAAAAATGTGTGCCTGGGGGATGTATAGCAGGGAACCTGACGTGGCTTGGGGAAGGGGCGTTAGAGAAGTTTCCCAGAAGAACTAACTTTTTGAGCTGAGATCTTTTAACTAGGTGTTATGTGGGAAATCATTGCAGGCACAGAGAAATCCTTGTGTAAAGCACACAAAGCAAAAAGTTCATGGAAACAAAAAATGGCTAGAGAGGCAATATGATTTAGTGATCCTTACATCCTTAAACCAAGGATTCTGCCAGCTAATAGCTGTGTGACCTTGGGTAGGCTACTTAACTTCTCTGAACTTCAGTAATCTCATCTGTAAGATGAAGATTATAATAGTACCTGCCTCATAGGGTTGGGTTGAGGATTACACAAGTAAAGTACTTAGAATAATGCCTTGCACAAAGTAAGCAGTCAATAAGAACTAGCCATAATTATTAGTGAAGTTGGCATTAAGGGGCAATAATAACAGATGTCTTGAAATAATGGGTCATGTAAAGATGTTAAGGTTGGGACTTCCCTAGCGGTCCACTGGCTAAGACTCCACACTTCCACTGCAGGGGCCGTGGGTTCGAGCCCTGGTCGGCAAACTAAGATCCCATATGCCTCCCGGGCTGCCAAAACAAAACAAAACAAACAAACAAAAAAGATGTTAGGGTTAGTTGTACTGATACTTTATCCTCTAAACAGTGCTTCCCAAAGCAGGCTTCTCAAACTTTGATGTCATACCAATCACCTGGGCATCTAGTTAAAGTGATTCTGGGGTGGGGCCTCAGGTTCTAGTTGTTTAACAAGTTTTCAGGTGATGCAGATTTAGGAATCTGGTCTAGGGATCCCACTTGGAAAAATGAGTGTAGGCAACGGTAGTTTTATGGAATAGTAATAGTTAATACAGGAATAAAAGGGCTCCTTGATCAAATGAGTCTAGGAGAAGACACAAAATTCAACAGATTTCTTCTCTTGAGTCTTTCTCAGGGGCTTTAATATGCTTAGGCGCATTGTGAAGTTCCAAAAGGAACATACAGTAGTCCCCCCGCTTACCTGCAGTTTCCCTTTCCAAGGTTTCAGTTACCCACGGTCAACCATGGTTTGAAATTTTCGAATAGAAAATTTCAGAAATAAACAATTTACATTTTAAATTATGCAACTTCTGAGTAGCATGATGAAATCTTGCGTGCATCTGCTCCATCCCACGCGGACGTAAATCTTCCCTTTGTCTGGAGTTTCCCACCTGTTACTTAGTAGCGCTTCAGTATCCAATCAACTGTCTGGGTAACGCAATGCTTATGTTCAAGAGACCCTTGCTTTACTTCATAATGGCCCCCAAGCACAAAAGTAGTGATGCTGTTGATTCGGATGTGCCAGAGAGGAGCTGTAAAGTGCTTCATTTAAGTGAAAAATTGAAAATTCTCAGTGAGGAAAGAAAAAAAATCATATGCTGGGATTGCTAAGATCTACGGTAAGACTGAATTTCCTTTCTGTGAAATTGTGAAAAAAAAAGAAATTTGAGCTGGTTTTGCTGTTGCACCTCAAACTGCAAAAATTACAGCCACAGAGCATGGAAAGTGCTTAGTTAAGATGGAAAAGGCATTAAATTTGTACAATAAAATGTTGTGGGAGAGAGAGAGAGAAAGAGACCATGCTCACATAACTTTTATTACAGTGTATTATTATTTTATTATTGTTATTAATCTCTTACTATGCCTGATTTATAAATTAAACTTTATCATTGGTATGTATGTATAGGAAAAAAAACATATATAGGGTTCAGTACGGTCCACGGTTTTAGGCATCCACTTAGGATCTTTGAATGTATTCTCCACAGATAAAGGGTGAACCATTTTTGCACTTTTAGATCTAGTTAGGAGTGTGTTCAGCTGCAAGATTTACATCACTTATTATGGAAGTCCAGATAAATGGGGATTTGTTCATCTTATATAACAAGAACTCAGGAGGTAGGAGGTTGCTGACCTTGGTTCAGTGCTCTGCAGTGTGGAAGCTGATATCTCTGCAACTCACTTTGCCCTCCCTTCAAAATCACAAGTTTTCTACTGCAGTTTCTACTTTGAGTCCATTTGAAAGCAGGAAGAAGGGCGAAGGGTCAATAGACTTCAGTTTATGCCTTATTGGCCAGAATTTTGACATGTAGTTATTCTATCTGGAAGTAAGATCATGAAAGAGAATATTTAATTTTATAGTTGCTAGAATGTACAGGGAAGAAAAGTGTTTGTCATGGTTCCTGAATTTTGTTTTAAATTTATTTTATTGAAGTATAGTTGATTTACGATGTTGTGTTAATTTCTGCTGCACAGCAAAGTGATTCAGTCATGCATATATATTCTTTTTCATATTCTTTTCCATTATGGTTTATTCCAGGATATTGAATATAGTTCCCTGTGCTACACAGTAGGACCTTGTTGTTTATCCATTCTATGTGTAATAGTTTGCCTTTGCTAATCCCAAACTCCCAATCCTTCCCTCCCCCATCCCACCCTCCTCCTTGGCAACCACAAGTCTGTTCTATATGTCTGTGAGTCTGTTTCATAGATAACTGAACTTTTTGTTTTTTTAATGCAGTCTTCTGGGAACAGTGTTCCACAGATCATACTTTGGGAAGGTATAAATAATGGGGGACCAGTGGCAATTTTAAATATGGGTATTATTTGCTCAAGTAGTAGCATGAAGACCTCATGCGATTAGGAGATCAAAAGAAGAAAAGCTTTTAAAGGAGAAAAAAAATGATTTTATAGAGAAGTGGGAGGGGAGCTAAACTAGTGTTACATAAATCTCAGTGTAATAGTTTTTCAATGCAGAAGAAATGAAAAAGAATTTTAATGCCGTAAAAAGATGGAACAGAAAGAGTTCTAATGAAAAACCTTGGATTTAGTGATGATGTTATTTGTGTCCTTAAGCCTATTTCAATGGACCTTGTTGGGAGAATAGCCAGAGGGCAGGAAATAAAAGCAGTTAGAGAGAATAGATAGGTCTTTTGACTTTAGACGTGAGAGAGGGAAATTAGACTGGTTTAGCTGAAGTCAAAACATGAGGAAGACCCCAGTATAAACAAATTCCTCTAAAATTTTACCATTAGAAAGTGGTTTATTAGATTTGACCACTTTTTAAAATGCAAATATGCTTTTGATTTATATCAGGTGATTACATTATGGCAAAGAAACTTGAGCCCCTCCCCCCTTTTTAAAAATAAAACGGAAGTATAAAGGAAATGCGGGAATGCTAAATACATGACATCATTGCAGAAGAGGTTTCCACCAAAAGACAAATGGTATTTTTAACAAAAGGCGGGTGGGGAGGTGTCCCTGAAAGTACCAACTTCACAAATTTGCTCAAGATCTACAGTTTCAGAAAGGATGCAAATCATAAAATCAAGATCCTTCCTTACAGCCTATAATCTATTGTTTGGTCAACACGAAATTCGTTGGGGAGAAAGAGAAGTCAACATATAGGCAGTTAGTCTTCTCCAAGCGATAAACAAGATGGTTTAATGTTTAGCTATTGCCCAAGAAGGTTGCAGTCTGAGGTTTAAATTTTATCTTTGCCTTTTTTTCTCTGACAAGTTACTTTACATCTCTGTGCTGAGTGTTCTCATCTCTAAAATATGAATAACAATATAGTTACCCTATAGTAGTGCTGTGAGGATTAAATGAGATATACTGTGCTTGGCACATACTAAGTGCTCCATAAATATTTACTACCATGACAGTGGTGGTGCTATTGAAGATGAGGAAGATAAAAAAGGAATGTAGTGGGCTTCCCTGGTGGCGCAGTGGTTGGGAGTCCGCCTGCCGATGCAGGGGACGGGGGTTCGTGCTCCGGTCTGGGAGGATCCCACATGCCGCGGAGCGGCTGGGCCCGTGAGCCATGGCCGCTGAGCCTGCGCGTCCAGAGCCTGTGCTCCGCAACGGGAGAGGCCACAGCAGTGAGAGGCCCGCGTACTGCAAAACAAACAAACAAACAAACAAAAAAACCCAAAATGCTTTGAGCTTATAACTGCCATTTTGCCTCAATTTCTTCACATCCCAGATCTTTGTGCAACCAAGTCCTGGTTTATACAAAAAAAAAAAAAAGGAATGTAGTAATGGTGAATTGGAGTGCTGTGTGACCTTCACCAAAAGTTGAAGGTGTGAGAAGAGAGATGGTCAGAGAAGGTTTTCCAGACAAGGTAGCAGATAAAATGAATTATGACTCTGGATAAGCTGTATTTTCTCTGGACAAGCTGTAAGAACCCCGCAATCCAGGTTCTTCATATTACTGGAATTTAAAATACTAAAAAATTAGGGACTTCCCTGGCGGTCCAGTGGTTAAGACTCCGTGCTTCCACTGCAGGGGGTGTGGGTTCAATC